GTGTGTGTGTGTGTGTGTGTGTGTGTGTGTGTGTGTGTGTGTGTGTGAGCAGCCCAAGCAAGCCAGGTCTTCACTGGCATCTCTTTTTTATTTATTTTTTTACTGCAGTGAAACTGGGGCATTGTTCCACCCCTAAAGGGTTGTAGCATACCCACACAGACAGACAGACACGCTGGCCTCAGGGTAGGATCTAACCTTGCTGGAAAGCTGAAAGACTGGTGATAGCTGTGGGCATCACTGTGGGATTTATTTATTTTTGTCCTCTGTTTACACATTTTGAAGGTTTGGTGTCCCTGTTTGCTGAACCATTTGCTGCTTGTGTGTGGTGTAAATTTGAAGTGGAAGTGTTTGCTGCAATTTCCCAGAATCCAGGATGACATCTTTAAATCACTTGTTTTGTCTGATCAAAAGTCCAAAACACAGATGTTTTAAAAAAAAAAAAACAGGAAAACCTCACATTTGAGAAGTTCTTATCGTTAAATGTTGAAAAATTACTCAAATGATTAATTGCTTATCGAAATAGATGCCAATTAAATTGTAACTAATCCATAAATCGACTAGCCATCTCAGCTCTTGTTCAAATAGATTCCAGAAAAGTCGCAGTTAATGTAAATTTGACTGACCATTGTGATTTGGTGCTCTTATTGCAATGCCCCAAGAAATACTGTACATATTAGTACATTTCCACTTTGTCCGCCCCCATCTGTTTCTCTGTCTAACATGCTTGGACCTCCGCAGAGATTCGACTGCAGGTGGAGGAACTGGAGTCTAACGTGACGGTGGAAGAGTCTGCCTCTATCCGGCTGGGCTGCAGCATTCCCTCCCAGTCGTCCCGAGACTCCCGCTTCTCCGTGTCCTGGTACGTGGAGCGCTCCGAAGACGAGGATGATGACGACGAGCAGCCGGACCAGGAGGAGGGAGAGTGCGTGTTCTCCATCGGCCACGATGCCGTGTTTGGAAATGGAAACTGCAGCCCCAGAGAGGAGCCGGGGCCAAATTCCCGTCTGCAGTTTGAGAGGATGACCTCCGACCAGTACAGCTTGACCATTCATGGAGCGCGGCCGACCGACGCGGGCCGATACTACTGCCATGTACAGGAGTGGCTACTCAACCCCCGCAATGCGTGGTACCACCTGGCCACCAACAACTCTGGGTTCACTATCGTCAATGTAATGCAACAAGGTAAGTCCTTAATTATCTAAATCCTCAAAGCTTCAGGTGAAAATGAACACTGTGACTAAACTATATTAGTATCCATGGCTGTCTTCTAATATTATACAGGCAATTTAAGACCGGGAGCTTCTTCACAGATAGCACAAGATGTAATTAACTGCTGCGTCTTTGGATGTTTCGTCTCACTATTGTCGTATTGCCCAATCCTAATAGGTCCTCTGTGTTACAGTATACATAACTAGAGAATATTATGGGCCAATTAAGGAGCTCTCAGGTACTCTATATGTCATCCTCTGATGATATGGCTTCCCCACTTGCAGCATTTATTTTAAAGATAGGATGAAGCTCAGTTAAAAGCAGCAGCCAGAGATGGCCGCCCGCTGTTTAGCATTAAAGCTAAGTGATTAATGCCAGTGTCAAAAGTGGTGCTCTGATCTAAAGATGTCAAACAGATTCATTTACCAGTGTCTGTGAACTGTAAGAAGTGCATCCCACATGCTATATGAACACATTTTTCAGTGATTAATTTTCTTCAGGACTTTATCAAGGACCGAACTAACCGTTGTCTGTTCTCCGTCAACAGTGTCCACCCTCCAGTCGGTGGTGTGCTCCAACGACTCCCTCTTCTACTTTGTCTTCTTTTACCCCTTCCCCATCTTCGGCATCCTCCTCATCGCCTTGCTGCTTGTGCGCTATAAGAGCCGCAACAACAGCAAGAGCCAAGAAGGCAAGAACGGCGCCCCCCTCCTGTGGATTAAGGAACCTCACCTCAGTTACTCCCCCACCTGTCTGGACCCACCTGCGCTCAGCCTGCACCCCGGCTCTGTCGACTAAGCGAGGGTCCCCCCCACCCCCCCCCCCCCCTCAGTCCCCCGTGCCTCACGCACATCGAGGATCCAGCCAACACAATGTCAGGGAGCAGATCTGTACTCCACCTTCAGACCTTACTGTCGTTCACTGATGTTTAATTAGTCAGTTTAACAATCCCTACCCTGGTGGCTGTCTGTTTTATGTTAACGTGTGTGTGTGTGTGTGTGTGTGTGTGTGTGTGTGTGTGTGTGTGTG